ATTGAGGGATGAACTGTACTCTATTTTACTGGAATCTTTGATGCCCCTAAGTGAGGTATCATCTATATGCAAGGAGCAGTTCTGAAAATACATAATGTCAAGGATTCTTGTTGGTACCACAAAACTCACTTGTTTACCTTTGGTATAACTGGTAAAATCCTCTGAAAATATCTTCATCTTTATAGTAACTACAGGGGGTAGTTACTTCAGTTTTCTTAGACCCTTGATGAGCTAAATTATAGAAGCCGGTGTTTATGATAACACTTGTGCAAGACATTTTAACATCCAGCTTCTGTAAAAAATATTACATTACAAATAGGTCAAGTTTGTGTTGATCCTGATTTGCATTAATATATGGTGATCTATAGTTAAATATTTTTAACTATTGCCACAAAATCACGAGCGCCCGGAAGAATTTTTCTCCTGGGGGGCAATCATCGGCAAGAGATGACTTTTTGTGAACATATATCTGCCTCAAACATGTCTTGAAGTGCGGGTATTAGCAAACTTTCTTAGAGGGAGTCCCGCCACGCCGCCCTACCTGGTACCTTTCTATGGGCGCCCATGTAGATTTATTTTTTCTTTCCTTCGATACTACATGGTAAGTTGCGATAACATTCTGAACGGTTCTATATCACGCCAAAGTTGTTAAGCCATTATCACAATTTTAATACAACACACATAAAACCAGCAAAAATCCAGGACCACCTGGGATACAGACACAGTAAAATTCTTAGGACTTACCATTGATCAAAAATTAGATTTTACTAATCATGTAGACCAATTCTTTAATAGGCTAGTAAGGATTTCCTTTATTATAAAAGCAATTAGTTACAATGTAGGCTCTTAAGCAGTAACTTTGTGTTATTTGAAAGTAGACTGAGGACAAAATTGTTTATAAAAGTGCTTAGTCTACAAAAATGAACTATTAGATATATAACTAAAAGCAATCCTAGATCTACATACATGCATGCCTTTGGTTATAAATGTTAAAATGATGGCTGTTGTATCTTTGTTGATTTTATAAACAGCAACTCTGATTTTCAAAAATAAACCTATATTTGAAACATTATATAAGTTATTAGATAAAAACAAGATATTAAATTAGTAGTACCTAAAAGAACACATGAGAAATAAGAGTACAGAAAAAAAAAAAATTTTTTTCCTGCATTGAGGTATTTGAGATATTACCTCGACTGACAAAGGTCCCTGAGCTACCAAGACAGTCTCCACCGACATGCCAAAGCTAAACTCAGCAAGTCTAGCTTCTTTCTGATTATAATCTGCATGTGCAAGAACTTTTATTTCTGCATCTATCAGATTCATTGTCACTAGAAGGGATCGAGCATTTTTGAGAATGCTGCCATCTAAATGTAGCTCACTAGCAGCAGCATGGATTAAGCAACCAGGAGATGTTGAGCGTTTCAAGAATAATGCTGAGACATTGTAGATATATACAGACATAAACTGAAAATGAGTACAGTTAATAACATTTTATTTGCTAAATGTAAAGTAAAACAGAATATATGCAACAATCTATATTAAGGTAGGAATATAGCACATGAAAAATTGTCACCTGAGCAAAACTATTGATGAAGTGTGGCACTTCTTATCACGAAAGTCAATAACTTCGCTAATGGAATGATTACTGTTGTAATTATCCAACTTTTCTCACTAAGGTCCTTGTTAATTCTAACATCTTTTACTACCAGAGTCACTAATTTTGTCAGTTCAGAGTTCAGGAAACTGCTTTTAATCCCTATTTCATTAATTTGCTAAAAATACATTTGACTACATATAGAATCAATTAGAGCTTACTATATTAAAACCATTTTTGATAGATTTATATCACAAAGCTTCAAATATGGTAAACCAATTCTTCCTATATTCAGGGATATATTATATTTTCTCTCAAAATGCCATGAAATAATCCATGGGATAATCCTGAAACAAGATGTTTTGGTAAGATGTTTCAACACCTATTACAAAAGCATACCATGATATCGTTAAGAATATAATAAAAATTACAAGTAAAAATATTAAAAATCCTCCCATTTTCAATACTTAGTTTCCTGAAAAATCATTTTAACATTTTGAAGTATTTTTGTTTAGAATTTCGACAAAAGTGATGACAACTTTTGACAAATACAAAAATAAATATAACCTAACTTCTTCTGAGATACTATGCAACCAGTAATACTGCGGTATAGCTGGCTGCCAAAGAGTCGTGCTTTCTGTAGTATTCAAAAATCAAACTACGTATATCAACTACAAAATTATCAAGAACCGAGCATGATTATTATATGTATGATATGACGCTTAATAAATAAATAGCCATATGTGCCCTGTCTCGATTTATCCATCCATGTGGTCCCCTACGCGTTGTTACATTTAAGGACATCGCTGCAAATGGTCATGTTATATATTAAAATTAAAACAGATTGCATGGATATTTTTTAATCAACTTTGTTGATTTAGAAACTACCTGTTAAATACTGATTTATCTAATTACGCAAAATATGTAAACCTAAATATAGCACGTGGTAGGTTTTCTCAGGTCCTACATACATGATAAAAGTTGTTATGATGAAAATCGTTATTATGAAAACAGCTATTAAAGGTAATGCGAAAAGCTGAGGATTTGTTCGTTGTCTAAAATGTTAGCTGTTTACAGCAACATCGTCTGATTAGGGTTTGTTTTGTGATGTTAGAACAAAAGCAAAGTTTTTCTTCTTTGACCACGCAAAAAATATTTAGCTACAGTCAAAGAGTGAGGATTGAAGAAGATACAAACCCAATTTCATTTTAGTCAGAGTAAAAATCGTCCATATATCGAGAAAACTTATTCAAGTTCAGAACAGTAATTTTTTCAAGCGGTGTAAGGCTTGTTCCACTTTTATCTAAGCTGTGACAATTGAGTCTGTCATTTCAAAAGCCACTTAGATACATCTTTTTAGCATGAAAACTGAAAACGCTTCCTTTAAATGTAAAGAACATGTAGTTCTGTTTTCTGGCTATATACCTTGTAAGTTAATACATTCCCTTCCTCTGTAAATAACACAGTGTAATACACGTTCATTGCAAAAACAACATAAGTCGGGAGAAGTGGTATTTGCATGCATTACTCGACGACAGGTACTTGTACTATCATTTCAAAACATTAACAGATGATACTAGATTTGTTCTGTTTTCATATTTATGTGTTATATACACCAAAATACCAATATAAAAATACTCAAAATAGTACACAAAATCATACTTAAATATGTAAGTTTTAAGAGGGCACGGACCGCTCTGTCCCTTCCTCCGCCTTTGCGGGCACCTATGACCTCAACATTCCACCTCTCAATGGGTTTGTTAAAGATTCGCAACGAAGGCATATTCGGGCTGCGACTTATTCTGTGGCTGATGTTTGCAAACATAAACGGCCAAGGCTAACCTTGCAGTAATGCAAATATAGGTACAAATTTCTCCGCCACATTTTATGAATAGCTGTGCCATAATTTTGTACTAATCTGATCAGATTAACAGTGCCCTCCTTCTGTAAGGACCCTGTCATTTGGATGAGCGAGGAAAAACCCACGGCCACTTCAGCACACTACTATACAGGGTGTTTCAGTTTATTGTTGCATAACTTTAAGATTCGATACAACTTTTAAAATTAATGCATAAAGTCTATATAAACATGGGTCGAAAAATGCGTCGCTTCCGAAATACTTTACTTTCTAAAATAGTTTTTTTTAAAATATTTCGAACAATATTTGATGTATAACAGTGAAAATTGGTATACAAGGGTTTTTTGGTACGACAAAACGAACCATGGGCATAGTTTTACTGTAGCTGCTAGAGGGCGCTCTCTACTGTACCTGTAGTGTATTAAATAACCGAAAATTCTTTCTTCGTGCAATTTTTTGCTTTTTGAATAAAAAACTGATTCTTCGTACTTTTCAACATAAAAAAGCTCTCCTGTGAGTTTTCGTTATAGTTAGCCGTTTTTGAGATATTTCGATTTTTAAGGTTCGATGCATTTTTAATTATTTATGGGAAAATAATATTTTTTTACATTTTCGATTTGGGCATTACACGTAATTAAGATGATCGCTTAGATTGTGTTTTTAAACACAGCAATAATTCCTAACTCCAAATAAACACATAAAAACAGAATATTAATTTGTTTAATTTTCCAATATTATTTTTAACAAATTAAATTAATTATTTACAACTAAAATGCTATTGGCTAGTTAGGCAAACATACAAAATCTAAAGTAGTTGCTCGAAATGTAAACCCAATTGTTCAATACACAATTCACATCTACGAATGATTGAACGTGGTATAGCAATTATTCAAATAAGGCCTTATTTCATCACATGTATTCCTGATTCTGTCTATTAGCATATATCTTGTGGTTACGGGAGTCTGGTACACTTTTTCTTTTAGAAATCCCCACACAAAGAAATCTAATGGATTTAGGTCAGGGGATCGTGGAGTCCAGGCGACTGGTCCTCCACGGCCTTTCCATCTTTCTGGAAAATGAGCTGGACAACCATCAAGCTGGAACCAGACCAATCTTCTTAAATCTAACATAACATCATCCCACATATTTGCATGTTCAGCCTTTAAAAATTCCAAGAAGGTCGCAGCATTTAACCTTGCAGGCAAAAGGTAGGGTCCAAATAGTCGATTACGGTAGATACCAATCCACACGTTCACACTAAATTCATGCTGAAAATTTCTTTCCCAAGCTGCATGCGGATTTTCATGCGACCAAACATGTTGATTATGAAAATTTACCACTCCACGTCCAGTGAAGCATGACTCATCGGTCCATAAAACGTTACTTAAAAACTCCTTATTATCAGTTCTATCAAGAATCCACTGACAAAATGTGATTCTTCGGTCTCCATCCCATGGCTGTAGTCCTTGCACAGGTTGCAAATGGTAAGGACGTCTATGGTCATTTCTAAGAACACGGTGAACATGACTTGCTGAAATTCCCAAGGCACCAGAAACTCTCCTAACACTTGTGGTCGGATCTCTATCAAACTCACGCAGAATCATACGGGTAAATCTGCGCTGACGAACATTTATGTTTTGATCCCTTTAGAGATTTCCAAAACCATTTTCAATTATTTGGCGATGCACTCTTACAAATACTGAGCGAGTTGGATGTCGTCTGTTTGGAAATCTTCGTGAGTTTCCATTTACAAAGCCATACACAAAATGAATATCCGCTAACTCTTGATTGGAGAATACACACAGTACACACTACAGTAAAACTATGCCCATGGTTCGTTTTGCCGTACCAAAAAACCCTTGTATACCAATTTTCACTGTTATACATCAAATATAGTTCGAAATATTTAAAAAAAACTATTTTAGAAAGTAAATTTAAACACCCTGTATTTCGGAAGCCACGCATTTTTCGACCCATGTTTATATAGACTTTATGCATTAATTTTAAAAGTTCTATCGAATCTTAAAGTTATGCAACAATAAACTGAAACACCCTGTATAAGGCCAAAAAGTACTTAAATTGATTAATTTGTCACTGATGCAGCTTTTATTGTTTTCTAAATAATTCAAATTGTGTGACGCGAGATTTTTTTGCAATAACCGATACAATCATAAAAAACAAATCCTAAGTGTACCAAGCTCGTGAGCGCAAAATTATAAAACAACGCAACGTTACTGATGTGCTTTGGAATACTACGTACTATAGAAGTCTGAAATTTGTGCGCATAAAATTATCCAATTAAAAAAAGCACCGAAAAAGCGACATAATTAATTGATTTGGGATTAGATCGTCCCCCACACATTTTGATCCAGTCACTGGTCAGACTGCATAAAAGGGGCTACACCCAGGTAATTAAAAAATAACAATAAACAATGTGCTAATTCGTGATGGACAGAGATTGTTCATAGTCGTTACACGTTTATATTTTTACAGCATCTCTCTCTCTCCATATATCCTACTGATTCGATACAGGCCACAAATCCTTCTTTTAAATTGGTCGAGTAGAAAAAAGGGCCTAAATGTCACGCGCGAAGGCCTATTCTCAGTAAAATCTGTTCTTGAACGTTCCATTGATCCCAACTTAAAACTGGCAAAAGATTCGTGACCTGCGCACCCGAGTTACCCACGATAAACATACACTGAAGATAGGATATCGCGTATGTGGGCGGAGCTTCGTGACGTCACCCGGAGAGTTGTCGGCTCGTGGTTACCAGCGGCAGGATTGTCGTAGCGTTACTGCAGTTCACGGTTATCGTGGTTCATACTATATAGTGCGATTTGTTGGTGATTTTTGGCTACATCATACAAAAAGAAAGATCAAAGTCAATGTAAAAAGCGCTAGAGTTTGCTCTAAGCACGTGAAAGTGCCTATAAGGTCAATTTGAAACATACCCTTTTGGGTTACACCCCTAAAAGATATCGTGCTCTAAAAGATGATGCCATTCCTATGGAAAATTTACCCAATTCTCTAGAATGACCTGGACCATCTACATCTGTTGATGGGGAAAAGCAGAAAAGTAAAGTGCTTACGAACAAAGGCAAAGGGCTCAACTTCTCCCCTAGAGTTTAAGTACATACTCAGAGTATTGCAGCGTAGAGGAAGATGATACTCCGAACATTCCACTAACCGAATCATCAACGAATAAACTGAATGCACCTGAAGTATCAGCTGACTATAACAAGGAAGTTTTAGTGGAAGAAATGGATGAGCTCGAGTATGATGGGCTGAAAAATTTGGCCGGCTTTGTTTGCCATAAATTGCAGGATGAGTGCAGTATTAACGTCATGAGCATGTTAATCCTGCTCCACAGAACAGTCAAAGAATAGTCCAAAAAATCATTCACTGAATGTTTGTCCTATGCTTGAAAATATATAGGAATAAATCGACTTTCACTTGCTGTTAAATAGTAAGCAAAAAATAAGCAAACTTTCTGTTCAGTTACAAAAAAATATCCATCTGTATGCCGAAAGACCCCTTCAAGTTTCCGTGATCCACGTCAATGTGCCGACAATGACGCGTCGTCAAGCCTACTTTGATTTGCGATTTTCACGTCCGCCCACACCTATACACCTATATATACAACTTGTTTACCAGTTTACCGCCACAGTTTAAACACAAACACTAACGAACGCGAGAAAAAAAAACGATTCTTTCAATTCGAACGAAATTCTAAGTGAGCAAAAATGAGTCTGGTTCCGTACAACCGATATTCCTGGGACGATGATTTCTTCAGGTCTCAGCGTGCCTTGGAAAGGAAGCTCTTCGACGATTATCTGCCGCCTTTTGATCTGGATATGTGGAGCGACAAATGGTGGTGGAACAGTCGCATTGGGGATCAAATCAAGCACGTCAATAACTTCATGAACAGCTCTTTGATTGGTACTCATGAACTTGGATCGTCAACTCTCAGGTAGTAAAACATGTGTGCTGCAAGCTTATTATTTGATATTCTTTTTTACTTTTTTCTGCCATCAAAGGCAATATGAAGACACAAGGGCCTACCCAGCTCAAAACAACAAAATTTTTTGTGGAAGCTCGACAAATCAAGTATACGTAACTATGCTTGATATTTTTTTTCTATTTGCATTTCACTTGTATAAAGTCTTCCACAAGGTTTTCCAATTCATATGGATATGAAAAACTACCAGGATTACTTTTTGAAACATTCAAGCAAGCCAAATGTGAGCCCTGTTGTAAAAGAAATTTTACGGAGGGAATTATATTTATATTCTTTAGTATTCTTCAGAGTGAAGGCAAAGGCCTCATCCCAAAATAAAAAATTCTGGGTAACTTTTTTGTCAAACTTCAAAGTTGTAAGTCTATAGAAAAATTGGAAAATGATTGAAAATACCTTCAAAATAGGTACGTTCAGTTCGTTGCAACAGTCAATTTGTTATTGCAAAAAACGGTTATTCAGCAACGTGACTGCTGCAACAAATTAGACATACAGAGTGAGTTTTCAGTATCAATGTGGACTATACGCCTCCTATTTGAAATATACCACTCCCTAAAGGGTGTTTCATACCGACATGACATCAAAAACGATTTTTTTTAAATGAAAAAAACTACTTTAGCGCATATCGCAAATATTACATTTCTTATTTTAAAATGAAAGATTAAGATGTGACTTGCACGAAAATATCATTTTTTCTTTAAGGAACCCTCTGCTTGCTATTTTATAGAACTTCAAAGTTGCATTTTGTGTGGTAATACTGTGATGTAGAATACTGCTTTATAAGCTGTTTTTTCTTGTTTATACAAAAGATTGCTCAAAATTATATAAATATAACATACAATGTAAATCACTGTGACACTGTTCATCGAAATAATGCAGTTTTGCATTATTTTAATGATGAAAATAGTGCATTGTTAAGTAGTAATTTCTCTTATTTCAGATGAATATTCCCACCACTACACCATCATCCACCACCATCACTACTATCCTACTCTCTCCATCTAGTTGCTATGTTGCCAAATCATAGATAATTATATACCCTAATTTGGTTTGTCAAATTCTTAGTTATATACTAGCGCAAAAATGTGCAATCGGCACAGGATTGTCATGAAATTGAGGTTTGGAGGTGTGGCCGACAGGTTTTACTGTACTAAATCCACCCTCTGCCATATGATAGCATTAGCTAAAGATACTTTTTAGAAGAATGCCTTATGCCCTTCACAAAAGTACTTCGGTTATTGTTTTTCCTATATTATAGTTGTGATAAATGTGATATACAGGGTTATCCAAATTAAGTGTCCACCATTAGTAACTTTGTTATTAGTGAAAATACAAAGTTGTTTGAATTAGCAAACTAGTAGCATTTTTAACGCTGGTAAAATGAGAAATAAAAAAAACAATTCGAGTCGTTATTTTTTTTCAGTAAAATAACATTTTTTTAAATGGAAACCCCTGTATATTATATTTTTTTCTGTTAAAGCATCAAATTTTAAACAAAAAAGCTTACAATAACTTTTCTCCTAGGTTACAAATTGTTGAAGTTATGGCCTCCAATCTGAAACAATTAAATTGTATCGACAACTTTATTTTCAACATCAACTTATAATCTTACAAAATACAATAACAATTTTTTTTAAAGAAGATGCTCGAAAACACCACCTTGTTCTTCAATACATTTTTGGGCACGTTTTTCAACTGCTCGAACTGTCTTAAGTATGGTCCTGCCATCTATCTGGGTTATCTTTTCCCTAACTGCAGTCTTTAACGCGTCAAGGTTATCGTACCTTCACTTGTAAATTTGGTTCTTTAAGTAACCCCACAAGAAGTAATCAAGTGGGTTTAGATCTGGTGATCTGGGAGGCCACTGTATTGGGCCATTTGTTCCTATCCACTGATCATTAAAAGTAGTACTTAGAAAATGATAAGTACCTCTGGAGTTGTGGGCAGGTGCGCCATCTTGCTGAAAATGCAGATGATGTCTACTTATAAGATCCAATTCGTCTAAGAAATTAGTCAGAATTTCTGACATAAATTCCACATATCTTTCATCAGTTAGGGTTCCCTCATAAAAGAACGGGCCAACAATTTTTGAACCAAATATACCGCACCAAACGTTGAAACTGAAACGGACTTGTGGGCCTCTTGGATGTACTAACAAAAGATTTTCTCTTGACCAATAATGGTGGTTTTTTCTATTAAACATTCCAGAATTTGAAAAATTTGATTCATCTGTCCATAAAAGGTAACGAAAGTTATTTACATTTTGGCGACAGAAGCTAAGATACCAATGGCAAAAAACAAGTCTTCTCTCTTGATCCCCTGCCAAAAGCGTTTGAACTGGTCGGTACTTATACGGAATAAATTTGTATTTTTTTAAAATCCTTTGAACAGTACCATAACTGAAATTAGAGTCCTTGAGAATATCTGCTATTGAATTCTCACGATAAGCTTCAAAATATCCAATAACTGCAATTTCCGTGGCCTCGCTTATTATGAATTCTTTTTTGCCCTTGTTTTAGCAAAAACATTTTCGTTGCCCCTAAATTTTCGATAAAGTCTCAGAAAATATCGTTCATACGGTTGAATGCGAGCGGGATATAATTCACTTTTCTTCATGGGAGAACATTTTTCTTTAAATTAATGACACAATAAAGCTTATAAACAAGTATTTACACTAATGTTTGACATTATTTGATTTCATCATTGTTTTCCAAAGCCTTCTAGTTGCGAGTATGTCCAGTTTAACAATTTGTCGCTTATCTTAATGCTGTCAAATCTCGAACGCCATGTTGTTTTCATAGCCGTCTTAATATTATAATACTGCAAATAATTAAAAATATTTATCGTTATTTTGACTTTATTTTTGACTTTAGCGGAAAAGTCATTATGAACTTTTTTGTTTAAAATTTGATGCTTTAACAGAAAAAAATATAATATACAGGGGTTTCCATTTAAAAAAATGTTATTTTACTGAAAAAAATCAAAATAACGACTCTCAATTGTTTTTTTTTATTTCTCATTTTTACCAGCGTTGCTAATTCAAACAACTTTGTATTTTCACTAATAACAAAGTTACTAATGGTGGACACTTAATTTGGATAACCCTGTATATGAGAAATTACTGAAAAAGTAGCTGATGCCAATAACTAAATAATGAAAACATAACAAAGAACATTGTAAGTTTTTTGATGATTTGATGAAATGATCGTTTTTCTTTATTTAACTATAATGCTGGTCGAAAATATATGTTGGGTGGACCTAGCGAGGTGGTCTAAATCGATGAATCGAAGTTGGGTTTTTTTATATACAATGACTGCTGGTGCCTTTTCTATTTTCTATTTCATGCGAGTCGCTGGTATATTTTCCACTGTTTAGACACATACTGTTCAAAATTTCGTCTAGTTTTCGGTAAATATTGGGTCAACTTCTCATAAAACAAGCCATTTACAATAAATTTATTTTTATTTTGCAAATAACCTCATTTTTATCACGTATTTCTCTCAAAAAAGGTACAACTTGCCAACAATGGACATCATTTATCTTATCTCTCAAGAAATGACCGTTATAAAATGGCCATTCAGAATTGTTTGTACCTTCAAATATTCCTATATAAACGCAAAAACTTTAATCTCATTGAAAATATACGAATAAAAAAATGGTTAAGGAATTTCAAGAATCTAATCTAATCTTTCATTTTAAAGTAAGAAATGAACTATTTGCGATATGCGCTAAAGTCTAGTTTTACCCCGGATATCTTTCAGAATAGTCTAACATCCCATTTCAAAGGGAGAAGTTTTGATATAGTCGCGGGTATAGCATATTTTGCTAATTCAGGAAATAATTTCTCTTTGAGATATTTATTCGTTGTTTTCCTACAATTAGGTACTTGAATAATTTTCGTCATGTAGCCGAAAATGGTTTTATAGAATATATAGTTTATTCTACAATGATTTAAAAAACGATGCGTGTGCGAAGGTCCTAACAGAGACGAAAGCCTGTCAAAATATGGCGTCAAGTAGATTGACTCTATACCCCCACGTCTTCGAAACAACTTCTAGTATAATTTTCCATATATTGCAGTGGTATCAATAAGACGTGGATTTTGTTAGAAACATAAGGTAGACTATTTGGGATTTTCTGGAAAAAAATACCCTCAGCCTGCAGCAGTGACCGTGGTTGTACACGGTAGCTTTATTTCTTTGGAGCTTTGATGTAAAACTGTTTGTCAACAATGTTTGATACTTCGCGAAATCAAGTAAACTCATTAAATTACACTACCTGCATAATCTACATGATAATATCGCGCCCACCTCATATTTGCATCATCGCGCCATCTGCTACCTGCTTTTATAAGTCCCTCGACACGAGTATCATGTAAAAAACCTATAAAACGTCAAAAAAACCTATATCTCTCTCATTTTTGAAATTCAGCAAATTTGAGACAAGAACCCAGTGTACTTATCATCAACACATCTAACTTACAGTTTAGACCTCCAGTAATGCCATCTCAGAAGCAGAGCCAAAGATTGATAACAAGCCTCATGACGTTTAGGCAACACGTACAACTAAGTGCTAAGTTAACATCTTGTAGAAAAACCTACATAATGTCAAAAAAGTCGGCATGCCACTTTTCAAGATACGTGATTTTCAAAAACATGTCATATAACATTCAAATATAACATGTAATTAATATGAGAATGCACGTTTTTTAGAAATCATAAACTTCTGGTTGGATCTTTAAGATTTGAACGCCCAGAGAATATTTACATCCGCTCTTAAAAATTTTTTCCAGGGCTCACAATATCCTCTGCCGATGCTGTTTTTGGCTTATCAAAAAATTTCTGGAGCACATTATTCGAATCGTTGTACCTGCCCTCCTGGGAACAATACTGCGGGCGCCCATGGTAATTGCGAATATACTTGTTAAATAGATCAAAGGGACCGACAGTCACTGTCGCACCTGCATGTGTGACATATATGAACATAAGGCCAGAATTACCTCATTTTTAAATACAGGCTGTAAAACTTTCACAGAAAATTCTTTTTTCGCTAGAAATTAAGCTAAAATCATTTAAGAAAAAAACTTTATTATAACCACAAAATAACGTGGCCATCTAGATAGCTAAATTTAAATCTATTATTATTGTTATTTCCCAGAAGCTGTGGGGTTTAGTAATGCGTTTTTCTTATTTGATATTACCTACAGTTTCGACAATACCTATATTAATAAGTATTATTTTCGCATAATAATCCAAGAATCGTTACGTCTTAAGTAGTGGGCGCTAGCTTTGGTGTCCAATCTTTCTGTTCTCAATTTCCATTTTTGTAAACTTTTGATACACCTAGTACGAGCCAAGATGAAACATAACTTGTTTGTTTTTTAGTTTAATTATAACCACTTTTTTATAGTCAGATTGATTCAAGGATGCATACCGTTCGTCTGCTGTAAACTTGAGGGGGCGGCTTAGAACACTCGGATACTCGTTGACCAAAAATAGGCGACTTGATTGCTTTACTAGTGGCGTGAATTCACGAAAAAACATTTTGGAAATTGAAAAATGGCGTCAAGTAGGTTGGGCCTGCACTTCCTACGCAACGCTCTTTTATGTATGTTCATAAACAGCTAGTCCCTGTTAGAAACAAGTTGGCTATAAACATATACAGGGTGTCCCGAAAAAAGTGTGCAATATTCTACCAGCGGTTTCTAGAGCTTAAAATAGGAAGAAAAGTTTATATAAACATAGGTCGACAATCGTCCCCTAAGGGCGCTACGGTCTTTTAAGGGGGCTCCCCTTAAGATGGTTTTTCCTTAATATTTCCGAAACTTGTTGAGATAAAGACATAAAATTTGGTATTCTAGCCTAGTTTTTTATGCTGGATTTAAAAATATCAACAATTTTAGACAGTTTTGTTTGGAAGCGCATGTAAGAGAGACGAACTCAGATTATTTTAGCCCCAAAATTTTTGTGTGATTCTATTTTTGAAATTCAATTTTAGAATTTTAAAATTTAGGGTTTTCTACATAAAAAAGGTACTCTTATTGAATATCGATAAATTGTGCCATTTTTGAATAAAATCAAACTAAAAAATTTGTCACATGATAGGGAATGTACTGCGAATTTAAATGAATTGTTGAATAACTAGCCATGGCAACGAAAAAACTAATTTAATAATTGGTAAATATTATATAAATACATATTCCTATTGCAACATTTAGGCAAAAACAAAAGAAATAAATTTTTTCTACGAACGAAATTGAAATTTGTTTAACCCATTAATGCCCAGATTAACTTTTTTTGAAAAACATGTTTTCGGTTAAATATGTGATTACCATAGTAATATAAAAGATATATCAATGAATATTTCACGAAAAAAGATTTAAAATGCCGCCATTTTGGGTTGGGTCGTTAGCGACCCCTTGGGCTCTACAAAAATGCACAAACATTTCAAATGAAAATCATAATGTGTATTTTTTATACGTTTTATTTATCTGATTACAATGATCAACAAAAAGATTTGAACAAGATACTATTATCTATAATTATGGAATCAGGAGTTATGGTATTCTAAGAAGCATTTGTCATGAAGAGGAACTTTGCATGTATCACAACGTTTGTTTGTTTTATTTTTGCAACTCTGACAGCGGCGTCTTGCTTCTCCCGTTATTATCAGATGTCTCCCAGATGCAGAAGCAGGATATCTGATGGCAGCTCGTTTTTTTCCCGCTACAGGTGGTTCTCGACCATATGTTGACAACAGTTCCTTTGCAATACCTCTGCGAAAATCTAGTTGGTCTTTTTTATATCCATACTGCCGTGCGAGATTCCAAGAATTTACAACACATACATCAATTGCCCAGTACATCAGTGGAGTGTACCATTTTTTACCTCTCATTGCTATTCTGTAATTTGAAATATGATTGTCGAGCTGATCAACACCACCCATATACCGGTTATACTGTTTTACTATAAACGGCTGGGGGATTTCTATTTTCTTTTTCTCTTTAGCAGAATATCTCAGACACTTTTGAAGAGGAATACCCGCTATTTTATTATTTTCCCCAACAGCAACAACCATGGATCCTCTTTCCATTTTTTTCATAAGAGTTGAGTTTTTCAGAGGGCACTTATCTGTACGATTTTCTCTTACAGTACCGGTGGCTCCAAAACCCTTTTTACCAAGACGTATTATCAATTTAGCAGATGTAAAAAAATTGTCGAAATAAAAGGTAAATCTAAGATTTGGAAATTCTTTTTCTAAGAGGGTAGCAAAACTTGTCACTACACGTTCGCCAAGACCCATACCCCCTAGATTTTATATATTCTGCTTCCTTCCTTGATATATATCAAACTGCAAACAATAGCCACATTTCAATGCAGCAACCCAAGCTTTATATCCAAAGCGAATGGGCTTGCCTCTTATGTATTGCTTGCATCCGTGCATACCGTAGTATGCTATCATCGCTTCGTCTATAGAAATATTACTTTCATTTGGTGCGTACTTGATAAAATTTTTATTTATGGCTTCAATAAAGGGACGTATCTTTCCCAACTTATCACTTTCTGGGAGATTGTCATTATCAGCAGCATGTAAAACGCTAGAAATCTCTTCAAATCGATTTCGATTCTTCCCAATACATCCATCTTCTCGGTAGATGAACGTATCCAGACAAAACTAAAATTCTAACAAAAACATACATTTCGTTCAAACAAAGTTCAAAGTTCAGCTTGTTCTTTTTAGAAGCATATGCAACGCTGTGTTTTACAAGATCTGTTAGAATATCGGGTGACAAAAATACTTGAAAAAATTGGAGAGGCGAACTCTCCGATGTCAGTGTAAGTGGAGGTGGAAAATTTGAAAATGTTTCCGTATTATTACTCTGTAGGTCGCCTTTCATCCACTTACATTTTTCATATGCAGAGTGACTTGCAAAATATGCGAGCGGCAAATTGTCTTCTTCATCCCACTCAATACCAGCAACCCCCTCAATCACTGTTGCATTTTGCGATCTCCTTTCAGTGTCCATGAAGTAATATTCAGCTTGAGCAGAAAGTCCTGGAAAAAAAAATAAACTACTAAAAACATTCTAAAAAAATAATGTGAATTATTAAAATTAACATTAGAATGTATTGTGAAGCCCAAAGGGTCGATAAAGACCCACAAGGTTTTTAGGTTATACACAACTTTTATTGCTACAAATATTTCGAAACAATGTATTTGCAGTCGTAGATATATGCTACCTAAAGCTAATTTGAATAGTAGATAAAAGAAATAAAAAACAATAAATGTACTTACCATTCATAATTGGAAGCCATGTTTTACTACAATCAATCTATGGAATTCGGGCTGCTGTTTAGATGCCGGAAATATGCACAATGCCGTCGACCATAAGCACGTGGCTTCATGCAGGCATGTGGTTGCGTTTGCCGAATATTTACGCGTTGTTGTCATGTTGTGCTCAGAGTAGGGTATTAAAATATCTCGTGGGTCATTATCGACCCCGTGGGCATTAATGGGTTAAAAAAGAAGACATACAGTTGGATATTCTTAAGACTAGCTTTACAATAAGTATTCAAATAAGTTCCCATTTTGTTGGATACAGAGTCTCGCTCGACGAACTAATGATTGCGTAGCCCGAAAAGTGGAAAACCTTTTTCTTCTTATTTCATTTGCAGCCTGATGGATTCTTTGAAGTAAATCTTCTTGAGTATTTACTTCGGTCGAGTAAACTAGGTCTTTTAATGACCCCCAAAAATAGAAATCCAATGGATTTAGGTCAGGTGAACCTGGCGGCCACGCTATAGGACCTCCTCGGCCTAACCACCTGTCTGGAAAAAGTTCAGATACATCTCTGAAGTAAGACGATTGGGAAAGTACAATAGGCCCAATTACTTGATCCCCAATTACTCCTGCCCATAAGTTCAATGAAAATCTATGTTGGAAATTTGTACGGCGAACAACTTTTGGATTTTCATCTGACCAGTGATGCATGTTATGGAAATTAAAAGCACCATTCCTAGTAAATATTGACTCATCCGACCATAATATTCTAGGAATAGTGTTTTCATTTGCTAATATCCACTGGCAAAACTCGATTCGTGGTAAAAAATCTGCCTCCGTTAAATGCTGCAACCGTTTAAAATGATAAGGATGTAATCCTTGCATCCTTGCCATTCTTCCTATCTAAAATTATTATGTTTAGGATAACTATCAAATAGGTATTCATAATTTTTTCTTACTCTTGATCGAAGTATATCCATATTTTCTGAAACATTTCGTTTGCTTATTTGCGGATTATTTCCAAACATATTTAAAGCAATATCCATACGATGATTTCCCAGTGGCCTTCCTGAGCCCTACATGCGCTGAAAACTTCCATGGTTTGAGAAATTCCGGTGAATATCAGTAAACATTCGACGTCCAGGTACTATGCGATTGGGAAATCTTCTTTGATATTCTCTTATCGCTGCCAATGAACTGCCATTGCAAAACCCGTACACAAAATGCATGTCAGTCAGTTCTCTGTCTGTAAATCTTGGCATTTTAAATCCAATTAATAAAAATTTTAATTTTAATCTAGTAATTTTACACTACTAACAATGTCAGCTTAACGTCAAAATAAGTCATAACAAATCAAAACAACTTTTGTTTGCAGTCCTGGCTAACTGTGTATAATCAACAATTCATTTAAATTCGCAGTACATTTCCTATCATGTGAAAAATTTTTTAGTTTGATTTTATTCAAAAATAGCACAATTTATCGATATTCAATAAGAGTACCTTTCTTATGTAGAAAACCCCAAATTTTCAAATTCTAAAATTGAATTTCAAAAATAGAATCACACAAAAATTTTGGGGCTAAAATAACCTGCGTCCGTCCCTGTTACATACGCTTCCAAACAAAACTGTCTAAAATTGTTAATATTTTCAAATCCAGCATAAGAAACTAGGCCAGAATACCAAATTTTATGTCCTTATCTCAACACGTTTCGGAAATATTAAGGAAAAACCATCTTCAGGGGAGCCCCTTCAAAAGACCGTAGCGCCCTTAGGGGACGTTTGTCGACCTATGTTTATATAAACTTTTCTTCCTATTTTAAGCTCTAGAAACCGCTGGTAGAATATTGCACACTTTTTTCGGGACACCCTGTATAAAGAAGGAATTAAATGGATCATGTCAATCAAACAGGCTCATACAGTGAGTTCATGATCCCTACAGATTTAATAACATTGCGATCTAGCCTACCGCCCTACAGTACAGTACCAATTACCTAGCAACGTGGCAACGCAGCAGAAATACACCCATTATCATTCGGTTATCCTTTAGCATTCGAACCAGACAGATGTACGCAAGCTGTAAGGGCAACATTAAATTAATTTCAATGTTTCGCTTTTTTAGATACTTGATAAAAAGAGAAAAGTTCATTTGCAGATTTATCTGATCTTAAAATGACCGGGAAGGCCATGATCAGGTGCACTGTCAAGAATATACTTAAACTTTCCTGTTGAAAACTCATTTGAATACCTGACTATGAAGTTTCTTGCTTTTTTTATTTCCGGTGTAAAAGTGTTGCCCTTTAAAAAAACTGTCTTGACCTGCAAACTAGCTGGGAGTCCATAGTGAAAGCCATCAAGATCAACCAATGGATGAATCTTTTTAAACCTTACAACTTCATTACGCAACATTTTTCTTTAGGAAACTTGTTTTTTGAGATAAAATGTCCTTTTCCTTTTTTCTGGATACCCCCAAATGCCCATGAAGGTCATGGTCAAGGTCATGGGCAAACACATACTAACGGGTGATTTTTTAAGAGGTATAGGATTTGATTTTCAAAAAAAACACAAAAAATTTGAAAAAACGATTAAATCTTTATTTGAGTCGATAGAACGGTCGATATAATTTAATGTTTAAAGATTATTTCATGTAAATGTTGGCCGCGGCTCCGCTTTAGATGGCCCATGCGCAAGGTCCAATTTTGGCACACTCTCTCCAACATATCGGTCGGTATCTTACGAATAAATGCTTCAATATTGGCTTCCAGTGCGTCAATCGTTGCTGGTTTATCCCTGTAGACATTAGCCTTAACATGGCCCCACAAGAAATAGTCCAACGGCGTTAAATCACACGATCTAGGCGGCCAATTGACGGGCCCCAAACGTGAGATAAACTGTTCACCGAACTCGCCTCTCAATATGGTCATTGTTTCGTGTGCGGTGTGACATGTGGCACCGTCTTGTTGGAACCACATGTCAGACAAGTCCAGCTCTTCCATTTTGGGCAAAAAAAAGTTTGTTATCATCGCACGGTAGCGCTCGCCATTCACAGTTACGTTCCGGCCATTGTCGACTTTGAAGAAGTACGGCCCGATGATGCCACCGGCCCATAATCCACACCAAACAGTGATTTTTTCGCATTGGTAGCTCTTGCAATGCCTCTAGCTGGTATTCACTCCAGATGCGGCAATTTTGCTTGTTAACGTACCCATTCAACCAGAAATGAGCTTCGTCGCTGAACACAATTTTTCGATAAAGATGTGGATCTTCCTCCAACTTTGCCAGCGCCCATTCACCAAATTGGAAACGTTGTGGGAGGTCGTGTGGCTTCAATTTTTGCACCAGCTGTATCTTATAAGGTTTTACACCCAAATCCTGTCGCAAAATTATCCACGTAGTGGAGTAACAGAGGCCCAATTGCTGCGAACGGCGGCGAATCGACATTTCACGGTCATCACTAATACTGGCGGATACAGCCGCAATATTTTTTTCAGTCCTCACTCTACGTCTGCGTGTTGGTGGTTTAATGTCCAATAATGTAAACTGGGTTCGAAATTTAGTCACAAGCTTCCGAATAGCTCCCTCAGTAGGCCCACCAAACTGCCCATAAATTGGAAGCAGTGCTTATGCACTCTCTTAACCGATCATGAATTTTGATAGTAAAATTCAATAATTTGCAAGCGTTGTTCGTTCGTAAGTCGATTCATGGTTAAATTATAGACCAAACTGAACAAGTTTGACAATGACACAAGACACGATTCACGCGTCATCTGTCAAAAACAGTGTTGCCAAAAAGATACTAGCAAAAAAATCACCCATTATAACTTAGAAATGTCCGCTCTTTCCATTTTCGGTTTAAAAAATAGGGAATTCATTTAAGAAAAAGCTGTCTTGACCTTTCAAGGTCCAGTCAACGCTCAAAATCACCAATGGATGTTTCTTTTCAAACCTCACAACTTTGTTCTACCACAAACGTATTTGAGATGTTTTGATCTATGCATACCTATTTTTGGGGTTCATCTGGTTTTAATTAGTAATTGTACACATTTTTAGTTATCTCCGTATCGTGGTTCAAACGTGAAGCTGAAAACACTGGATAGACATTCACTTTTATTTATTTTTTCAAATCAAAATTAAACGTATCTATCAATAATAACGTACGTTTCCCCATTGCGCAAGAAATTTAGCTTTATATTTGGATGAAGATGTCTAGTTATCTCAGACTAAGACAAATGCAAATAAAACTATATTAACTAGGAAATTTGAGAAAACGTTATCTGAGTCTTTGATATTGAGTAAAATGCAACATTGTTAATTATCACTGTGTGGAGGAAATAAAAAAACATGCTACCGCTATACAGGGTGTAAACGTTGTGATAGTCATTATTTAAATGGGTGATGGAGGGAGTTAAAAGAATCAAAAAGTTTCATATAACATGGGGGTCAAAACGGCATTTTTTTTAGACAAAAGCGACTTTAAAGTAAAATAAAATCTGACAACGCCGCAATGCCAGATGCAAATTACGACGGAACACAGTGTTAATAAAGATGAAGTTTATTATTTTTGGCTCTTGGGTATTATTTCATTATTTGGTAATGTACTCGTAAAATGCAAACACTTATGAATAGGGAACACAATTTTGATACATGCATTGTTTTTCTTTTTAAAACCCACACTGCACTTTTTTTGTATTTAAAGAAGGTGTTCAAAGTGTCGTCCTCCACTTACCACACAAGCTTCATTACGACGAACCCAGTTTCTTTTTACTCTAGGTCCTCGAAGTTGGCCATTTATTATTTTAGCCGCATTCAAATTTTTTTGCGAAGTTGTGCTTCAGTTGTTATTAGACCAGCCCCATAAACCAGCCCTTTAAGTTCTCACCAATACCAGAAATCGATCGGATTAAGGCCAGGAGATTTTGCTGGCCATTTTCGAGGATCAGGAGCATTTCGACCGAACCAGCGATTTGGATAATCAAATACTGAATGACGCCTCTAAAAGTGCGTGGTGGTGCCCCGTCATGAAGAAACCACAAATTCTGTCTCCGTTGTAATGGCATGTTGTGTAAGGTCCAAAAGTTCTGGTAGGTTATTGGCTAGGAAGCTAAGGTATTCCTCTCCTGACAACTTTGGGGGTAACTCCTAAGGGCCAATTACCTGATCGTCAAGAATACCCGCCCAAATATTTATTTTAAAATTTAAAACGTTGTTGGAAATGACGTTCACGAATGGTATGAGGATTTTCTTGGGCCCACGTGTGAGTATTATGGAAATTTAATACATTCGTCCGTCGCTAGAATGGTTTTAAAAAAATCCGGATTTTCAATGTTTCTGTGCAAAAACCACTGACAGAATGTTAGTCTGCGAGGATAGTATTCTGATAACAAGACCTGCACTCGTTGTACATGGTAGGGTTAAAGCAAATTTTCCCGTAGGATTCTATGATATGCGATATTTAAAATTTGTTCCTTCAGCTCTACAGTAACCTGTCTTTCCCGAGTGCGAATATTAGAGGGCTTAACACTTCCTGTATCTCGAAGTCTTTGGTACACTTGCACAAATGTCCTTTTGTCTGGGTGTACCCGTTGGCGAAATCTGTAGCGATGAATTTGAATTCTGACAAGCTTCACCGTAAACTAACAACATTTCGGCGAACTCTTGATTCGAGAACATTGTGAATCAATACAACGTCGTACGCGAACAAAAACAAAACAGCATACTAATCACTGTTACCGTTTGCGATAGATTGCCGCTTCGATAAGAGTGATGATGACCGACGCGCTGTGGTCATGTGTGTTTTAAATATTCAATTTAATGAAACTTACTTACTGACCACAAATTTTGGCTTAACTTAGAAAGGCTTAATGCCATTTATTTGTTAATTACCCAATTTAACAACGTTTTAGATTAGATTATAAAAATTAGTAAGATTGTGGTGATTGTGGTCGATATAAAGCACTTAAAGTTGTTAACTATAAAGCCATTTGGACAAACATCTATTGGCTTTTGGACCATGGATCATATGAACCTTTTGACTTGTTTTGACCACCCCTATTACCCATTTCAATAATGACTACCATAACGTTTACACCCTGTATAAACAATTTGAGAAGGTACGATCACGTTTCTCACTCAATAGCCTCCAATTAATTGGTTAAAGATATCCCATATGTTCAAATACAATTTTGTCACATTTCTCATCAAAATATTAAAAACCTCTTACCACAATTTGAATACGAGCAACAACCATTTCCTTACATTGCCACAATACAGGACAGTCATATTTCAATGATCTTCCACGTGCAATGCGTTAAAGTTGATTAATTCAATAATGTAACTATTCAAAAAAACTATAAGATCTGCTTAATGAATTCTTATTTTTTTTTTGTTTTACTTTTTGTATTCTCTCTCCCGTGGAACTTCAGGATTGGTACAAATTCTGACTAGGCGGTAACATTTGTTCTATTACTGATTATGTTCCTTCAGGCTAAGTTTTGGGTTAAGGTAGCAATAAGCTAGTCATGGTTAAGTATGGATGGCCATTGGCCAGACTTTGCCATTTTTAACTGTGGTACTGTATGTATTTGTTACTATAAGCTCAATTGAATTGAATGCCAAAATGATTGCATATCTGGAAGCAGCACTGTTACCTGGGAAAATCAGACGCATAGATCTCGAATCGAATATTGTACGAATAATCGAGACGCACCAAAAGCTTTACTGTCATCAAGTAATGAATATGTTTTAATGTTTTTAGGTACGACAACGACCAATTCCAAGCCACCATCGATGTGCAGGACTTCAAGCCCGAAGACATCGATATCAGAGTAGACGACAACGTCATCACTGTGGAAGGCAAACACGAGGAGGCTCGCGAGAAGCAAGACGAGTACCGTCGTGAACGTAACGCGGCTTACAAACACTTCTTGAAGAGGTATTGCTCTATTTATCAAGAAATTTAAGCTCTTGAATTTAGCCATAACAAAATCGTATACGTCAATACCAGCAGCTGCTTCAATGCAGAAATTTCCGTTCACTGTCTGGCCGGGAGGGACAAATTCCTGGCGAACAATGCCCCGAGAATCAAAGAAAACAATCAACATTGTTTTCACATTAGACCTTAATTTTTTAGACTGTTGTTCTCGGTTGCTCGGTTCCCCTGCTTGCTTCCACTCTATGCTTCAGCTCCACATCGAATTCGTAGAACCAAGACTCGCCTCCAAGTCCCCCCTTTCCTCTGCTTACAACCAATCCTCACAGCAAGCAACCCTCCTTGCTTTCTATTCTAGAGTCTAGAGCTTCGGATGGATTTTCGCGCACAATTTTTTCATTCCAAGTTTTTCTGTCAAAATTTCGTGGACGATTGTTTTGCGTACTGACAGTTCATCAGCTATCAGTCTAACTGTCTATCGATCGTCTTTAAGAACACAGCCCCGTAAAATACGGCAATGGAAACTTTGAAAGTTGCATGATAACTCAGAAATTAATAGCAAAATTACCAACCTGGTTTTTGCATTTAATAGTGCGCACTGGCACGGGACAGGGTAATGCGCATCGTATTTACTTCATTTAAACTTGATGATTTACCAGCAAACTTCTTGTGAATAATAGAGTCAAATTTGGAGTGCACGCTATTTATAGAATTTGCATAAAATTATAAGAAAAAAAAAACAAATATGATCGATAGTTGTTGTCATGTTTGCCGTGGTTAATATTTCACTGAATACAAACTTGGTGAACAACACTAAAATACTGGGCACTATTTGCAAAACTGATATTCTCCACATTTATCGCTATTTGCAAATTAATGACGGCAACTGAGAATAAAAAAGTTAGAAACACCTGCACAGGTAACCGAAACAAGCTCATGGATAGTGCAAAAGGTTTTTAATAGTAATTTGATGCAAAAAGTTAATCTGATGCTGCTTCAACATGCCAATAAAGCAGCTAATTCAACTGTTTCAATATTCACGTGGATCTAAAATTTTTCGATAACGTAAAATCCATCTACATTGTTCAGATAAAGTTCGAACTACAGATTTTGCTGGCAATAAGGATGTCACATTAACAGGGGCTTACAATTATATGCACAATAGTAGCTGCTGCGCACTGTTACCTCTGTTTTTTACTATATGTCTATATAACCTGAATCAAGTAGAGACTGTGAGATCAAACATATTGACTATTAGCTACTGACCTTTCGATATAGAAGATAGAGAAGTTGTTGAGTGTGTCTTTAGCCAAAGAAGCTCGACGGTAGTCTTTAATAATTTTCAATGAGCTCATGACACGTTCAGCACTAGCTGAACTGATAGGCAAAGTCAAAAACGATCTGAATAAACTGCAGCTCTCTGGAAAACTGTCTACAAAATTGTTTGCAATCATGAACTTCAAATAATCTAGCGGGCTGTCATTAGTAAAATTACGATTTTCCGAAAAATACATGGTCGTAAAACTGGCTGATTCATATTTTAGATCTGTAGTGAAAGATTCCGAATATTTTTCCATCAAATCAGTGGCGCTGGTTTCTAATCCGTTTTTTTTTATATTGACTAATTAATCTGGCATCAAAAAACCAAACACATCATTCACTTCACGAAATCCTTCAGTACGTTCTTGCAATTCGTTACTCATTGAATCCAAAACTTCGCAGTAATTTATTCGATGTTTTTCGTGTTTCCAGTGGCGAGTCAGCAGCTTTTTCGTGGAACATTTTTTGATTTCCCTCTTTCTGACAATGGGAAACCAGGATTTTCCCATTCCAACTCTTCCCATTTATTCTTAGTCTTCAGAACAAAACTATCGTATGTGCCTTCGCTCCTCAAATCTTTTAATTTTTTTAATGCTGCTGAAATGCACCTTTGAGCCAGCATCAAGTCTCTTTCTTTCTTTTGCATTTGAAGCTGCACAGTATTCATCACGCTCAATACTGAATGCCACCATAAGAAATTGAGGAAAAAGGTCCAGTTCATGGAGCAAAGGAGAGATCTTGCATTCATTATATCTCCAACAATTCAAAAACCATAACCTCATATCACCCCCATAACAAAATAAGATCTTGTGCGGTCTGCGCATGTCAGAAACTTTCGAGTCCCGCCAAAATCCTGTATACTGTTTTGAAACCAGTTTTCAAACCAAAAATTGGTTTGCTGGAACACCGGACTAATCCACCCAAATTAGGTTTTGCCTTCGAACATGGTTTCTGCGCTACGCATGCTCAGTCGGTTTCAGAGCGTTGGAAATGTGATGCTAGAACATTAGTATACCTGTCGGGGAGGGGTGAAACAGGAGGGATTGATCATATCATTATCTTATATAGGATTATGGAAAATATTTTTTTAAAATTTTCATCATCAATGCTTTTAAAGATTAATTTAATTTCTCTACTGATGCGCATTAATCAAACAGGTATTACTTGCCCTACGAGTACGATAACAACAGGGTGGAAAGCAGACTCTCCTCAGATGGTTTCCTGACTGTCACAGCTCCCAAGAAGGGTGTGTGGGTGCCCTGGAAGATCAGTACCGACAGGCGCATCCCTATAAGTTATGGCTCCAGGACCTACACTAGCAGGCCATGGCTGAAGAAGCTGTCATGGAAATAAAGCCGCTGTTTTCTTCAATGATGCAAAATATTAACCATTGTTGTTTTTCCAATACTAACTATACTTGTTGTTAATATAGCATGCAGGTCACAGATATAGTGTAGCTATGCAGAAAAGTATTTATTGTTGAAATGTTCAAAAAATTGTTAATAAAAAAGCACATACTAATTTTGCGTTTTATTTTGTCATTGCATTTTTTATACTACGAGCCCCTTCCCACTTCAGTTGGCCCAACTATTGAAATCTTAGTTTTAATAAAAATGTAGCAGGGTGTTATAGGTTTAAAATATTAACAATGAATATTTTGATAATATATAGTAGAAAACACCAACTTTATCACTCCCTAATCAAATTTGCAGCATAAAAATAACACATGTTGCAATTACAGCATATCAACCTATTTTCATTTCAATGCATAGGTGGCTGTGAAAAATAAAAGCCATGACAATTGTTTTTATTAATCACAGCTGTCAGAATACGTTTAAAATAGTTTTGGGTAGTTAAGGTTTTCAAAATGGGTAGAGAAAAGAGTATTAATGAGAAAATTCGGTTATTGGTAATTAAATTTTTTAATTCTGGGAAATCAAACTCAGAGATTGCAACTTTGTTAGACTTATCGCGGTACAGTGTGAGAAATATTGTTAGAAGATATAACGTAACTGGTTCAGTTAATATTAAGCCACGATATGTTATTATTATATATTATATATTATTTACAATTAAGTGCTCTGTGGAGTGACGCTGTTGGAAGGAGAATTTCGAGGTCCACAACTCATAGAGAGGCCCACAAACTGGGATTTAGCACTTGCAAGGTAGTTTTCTTATAAAAAAAAATGAAGTAAAAACCCTAAAGTTGCACAACTTGTTTATAGGCCAAAGAAAAGCCACTATTAACTCCACTGCAAAAGAAGAATCGGCTTGGATGGGCTAAAGAACATAGACAATGGACACCTCAACGATGGTGTGCAATACAATGGAGTGATGAGGCTCGATTCGAAGTTTGTGTTGGTGACACTCGCAGTAGAGTTATTCACAAAAAATGAAGTATTCCATGTTGACTGTCTGAAGAGAAAAGTGAAATTTCCAGCATCCATTATGGTCTGGGGCAGTATGTCGTCAAAAGGAGTAGGAAAACTTCATTTTATTGATGGAAATGTGGATACAAACAAATATTTGGAGATTTTAGAAGAATCGCTTTTACCAGTGATGGAATAATGTTTGACATCCGGCCAAGATTTTGCGTTTCAGCAAGATGGTGCAGCGTGTCATACCTCAAAAAAGGGTATAAAATGGATGGAAGAAAATAATGTACTACTTTTGAAATGGGTTTCTAGCAGTCCTGATCTGTCACCTATTGAAACTTTGTGGCACGAGATGAAAAAGGTTCTACGACAACATCCTGCTCGTACAATCACCGAACTGAGACAAAAGCTTCAAGAAATATGGGATTGTTTTACACCAAATTTTTGCCAAAACTTGGTTTACACTATGCCCCAAAGAATTTCAGCCGTAATAAAAAATAAAGGTGATGTTACCCAATGGTAATCTTTCAATTGTTGCTTTGTTAACTTCCCGCATTTATTCGCACATTGTTTATTTGTTCAGATGTTCTATTAGTTATAGGTCTAAGTGATTTCAAATATGTGATTTTTACGGCTAGAGTGTATCTAAAATGTTTTTGAGAAAATAAATTGTTTTAGAACTAAATAGTTTCGTCATGTTTAGTTTATAAAGGCATATTTTGGTACAAATCTTGAAGTGGGCCAACTGAAGTGGGAAGGGGCTCGTATTTCCATGTTTCATGTAAAATATATTCAAAAACTCTTTTTCTGTGAATTGGACAATGGAAAGCAGATGGGCAGATTCTAACTATAATTTGACCCCAGTGCAGGACAAGATTTTTTTGAAGCTGATATTCATATTGAATGCTTCAAATTACCTACGTGTACAAAGTGTTATTCGCCTATAACAACCGAAGACGACAATCAAAAGTTTTTCCTATAAAGTCCTCTGACAGTTTCTACTTTCCGATGACATTTTTTTCGAAATCCTCCAAGGATCAGCCTTGGCATTACATACGACCTCCTCTTCTGTTAGATCAATCAGATCCACAGCTCTGCTGCTGGCAGCACCATACACGAAGCCATTGAGTCAGGGGCGTGGCATCAATGATACCTGGCCCCCGGAAAATAGGGACCCCGACTGTGTAAGGAAAAATTCGGGACACACTGTATATCTGTGGTTAGAACGAAAACTCCTTCCCTGGGTCAATCGGATTAGTAGGTTTCAAATCGTCAGATCGTCAATTTTACGCTAGGATCTACGCGGCACGGGTATTATGTAAAAAACCTATAAAACGTCAAAAAAACCTGGTTGATTCTCACTATACATTCCGTTTCCACTCCGCAACCGTTCCGTAAATCATTGAAATTAAATATTCGCCTTCGCTTAAATCAGACTATTGCGTGTGTATGCACATTATCCGTAAGGTATACTGTGTATACAATCACATTGTACGGAACGTTTACGAAACTGATATGGAATGGAAACGGAATGTATAGTGAGAATCAACCTTAAAATGTCATCTTGCAGACTAGGTGGTTCTTAGGGTGCAAACAGTCATTCCACGTTTGCTCACTAGGATCGTTATGAGCGTCCATCTATGGAGGAATGGCTCAATTACACGCATTGTTGGTTGCATATGTTTTGTGAAGTCGAGTAGTCTGTAGTTTTCATCTCTGAGAAGATCGCATCTGGATGATTCTATGTATCGGTCTGCATGTATATAAAATCAGTGATATGTATCTGCTGTGTGAGAAAATCATTACTGAATCTGCTGCCAATGAAATACATACAGGGTGACGCATCGAAAACGAAGCAGACGCATTTACTGGCAGCTGATTTTTTTTGGAAAAACGCTCAGACCCGTCGATTTTGTTATCGAGGGAGACACAAGTTTGGTAAAAAATCACGTTAACACGTGCAGCCCCCTGGGCGGGGGTGACACCAACCCTAAAATCTTAAATGGAAAGGGGGGTCGAGTGATACCTTAATACTAAAAGAATTTACTTGATAAGTAATGCTGTTCTTCACTACGCCCATGGTTTGCTTATCATTTTGTTGTTGAAAATAGCTATTGGAGCGTTTTTTTGTGGCAAAAAAGTTATTTCTTGAAGAAAGATAAGGAAATATCTCATACTTATTTTAAATAGGAATTTAGTACATAGTTTGCGATTGATTTGACCAAACTTTGTTGCTAACCTAACTTGTAACGCTTTATTACATAAATTAACCATGGTATCTTCCACAGCAGAAAGAGTTGAAATTATCGAAATATTTTTCGGAAATAATCAGTGCGCTAATAGAACAGCAGAAATATTTAATGAGCGACAAGAGAGCAGTAACGTGCATCGAAAATATGTTCTAGAACATGTAGCTAAATTTCGGGAAACTGGGTCAGTCGCCAATAAAAAACGCAACATTGAAAATCTCATAAGGAACGAAGCAATAGAAGTGGGGTTTTAGGGCAAGTTTATGTAGACCTACGTTAAGTAGCTGCAAATTGGAGACTGTGTGGTGCTGTCGACGTACTGTCCAACGGATTCTAAAGGCCCATAGTTTTCAACCGTATAAAATTCACCTGGTACAAGAACTTAATGAAGACGACTTTGATCGGCGATTACAATTTTGTGAAAATATGAGTGAACGAATTATAAACGATGAACATTTTCTATTCAACACTTGCTTCTTCGACGAATGTTTCTTTTTCTTAAATGGCATAGTAAATCGTCATAACTGCCGATTCTAATCCCAGAATTTTTCATGAGGTTCATACACAGCAGCCACAAAAATTAAATGTCTGGGCTGGTATTTTTTGCGATCATTTAGTTGGTCCTTTTTTCTTGCCTGTAAATTTGACCTGTGAAATGTATTTGGAATTACTGGAAGACGTCATAGATCCTGCATTAACAGCCATAATTGAAAATCAGAATGATTGGCGGTACATTGCGAATAGGTTGATGTTCCAACAGGATGGTGCCCCACCACATTATGCATTACGTGTTCGACAATATTTAGATCAGACGTTTCCAGATCGATGGATTGGTAGAAGAGGTGCCATTGAATGGCCCCCAAGATCGCCAGATTTATCACCTTTGGATTTCTTTATGTGGGATCATTTAAAAAGCAAAATCTATGCTACTCACCCAACATCATTAGAAGACCTGCGACAAGGAATTGTGAATGAGTGTCTTCAAATTACTCCTCAAATATTGCAAAATGTGCGTCAACGTTTTGAGCTTATTGCTTGGAGAGTCATGGTGGCCATTTTCAACATTTACTTGCCTAACGGGTCAGTTCATTCTTCATTTTTAAATTACTTTGCTGCCTATTGTATTGATCTCCACTAATGATGATGTATTAGTTTTATTTAAGCTTTAAATCAATAAATCTTCAAAACTAATGAACTGAAGTACATTAATTTTATATCATTATAAAGGGAATTGAAATACCTTTAAAATAAGGTATCACTCGACCCCCCTTTCCATTTAAGATTTTAGGGGTGGTGTCACCCCCGCTTAGGGGGCTGCACGTGCTAACGTGATTTTTTACCAAACATTTGTCCCCCCCGAAAAGAAAATTGACGGGTCTGAGAGTTTTTAAAAAAAAACTGAGCTGCCAGTAAATGCGTCTGTTTCGTTTTCGATTCGCCACCCTGTATAATATAATAGCTTCTATCAGTTATACGTTTTTTGTGGTTTAAAAAACTTTGATGAGAATTTGGGGAAATCATCACCGCGCCCGCGTTGTGTGTTATTTGCTGAGAGCCACACATTGATAACTGAAGCCTCGTGACGTAAAGGCAACACGTACAACTACAAAACGAGTTCACAACGTGTCCATCAGCTAATGCCAAGTTAACAATTTGTGGAAAAACCTACATAATGTAACAAAAAAACAATACAATGTCAAAAAAATCGACATAATGTCACTTTTCAAGATACGTAATACCCGAGAATTTTTTTTTTTTGGTGAGGGGGGAATGCGTTTATGCACCATACCATAGCCCGAGCTACGGCGTGTGTGGGACTCCAGGTTGTCTTGAGGAGACCACCTAATACCCACTAAACCCTAACCTCCGCGTGGCCCGACTCATCAGCGTCTCGGTA